TTTTACTTTTTTCAATTTCTAGACAATCACACTATCTTTATTTCGATTACTACATTGATATATAAATATATTATACAAGTCGTCCTTGTATGTAAAAGAAAAAGATGCTTCATTTGTGTAACGTGTAAATAAATTAAAATATAATTAACGAGAGAATAGAATTACAGATAAATTTTACAAATAATATCTATATTCTAGCATGTTAATAATGTAATGAATAATTTGTAACTAACTACCTACCTAAACTGTGTAAATCACCCTTGAAAATTTTACAGTTTCTCATTAGGTGTCTCCTAAGCTGTGCATAAATGAAAAATAGACTTTTTATAATATTCTATAAACTATACGAAAATTGTAGCAGCTAAAAGTAATTGTTATTTAAGATATTGTTTACAGTATATGTAATTTTTAATTTTAATTAATCATTAATGCTCTGATATGAAAAAAAAGGTACTTATTGTTCTAATTAAATCTGAGTAAACCATTTCTAATTTTCTATATGGGACTATACATTTCTCTTGAAAGATGCTCAAAAACATGTCATGAAACGGATCCCAAAATCCCAAAGCTATTTTTTTATTGTATCAGAACAGTAATAATAATTGATAGGCATGAATATTTCAAAGTTGTGTTTTTATTTTCTATTCTATTCTATATATATTTTTTCAAAACACAAAGATAAGCATTTAAAAATCGAATTACCTACAGTTATATGATACAAAATAAAATAAATAAAGAAAAATGTACATTTGAAATGCTTTTAAACACAAACAAGAGATCATTTTTACTGTAACAAGTAATAGCATTTGCGAGATATTTACATGTACGCCTTAGAACTGAAAAAAAGCTGGAAAAACACATTTTATTATTGTCGTTACGTTTTAACTACTAACTACTTAACTGTTATAATTTCAATATAATCTAATTTTAAAATAGCTAATTCATTTACTTGTACTGACTTTTTCACGTAACAGAATGCGGTATGTCTTTCATGATCAGCAACGTATCCTATTAACATAACTCTGTGGAAGTCATACATTTTAAATAACTTATTCTCCATTTATTATATTTTCCATTTTTTTAGTATTAAATGTATGTACTTATATAATAGACTTGCCTTATGTTTATTTATGTAAGTTTAATTGATTAACTACTATTTTGCTGTTTACATGTTAAATATTTCTGCAACGTGTTAACTGCACTTAGCGATAGCTCGTCTAATTAATTATGTTATTAAGTATGATATTTAATTGTAATAACGGTTTTCTAGTTGACAGTAAATATGTCATTTTAAAATAAAATTGCTTATCGCAAGAAAATTTGATAAACCTTTTTTATGAGGTGTGTTTTCAGCATTAATGCCATGTATTTCAATTGCACATGAATGATGTTTTTTTGAAAATTAAAATAAATTGAACCTATAAAGTAAGAACTATTTATACACCAATCTCAAAAAGTTCTGTATCTGAAACTAGCGCAATAATTTGACACAACTTGCCCAATTGATAAGAGGGCGCCTCCTATAGCTGTAAGGAATACTAATGAAGTGTGGGGTGTAGAAACTCAGGGCTCAACAGCTATGGGACGGAAGGTAAAGTTACCACAGATTCCTATTATTTATTATATTTTGTGGTTACATTTGTGTTAGAGACGGTAATTTTTAAATTAAAACAGCCAGAATTCCGATAACCATAAGACCAACAGTTAAAATCAGAAACAATCCAACTGGGCCAAAATACGATATATAAAAATTTTGGAAAAGAAACCAGCCTGCGTTAGATTAGGGTGAATTAGATTCATGGTAGGAAGACTATAAACAAGGGAAATAACTTACAGGTGGGGCACGCTAAATGATGTTATTAGCAAAGTTAACCGTGGTTAACTACCATTGTGCAAAATTTGGTTCACTGTGCATCTCTGCATATGTATTACCTTCGTTGATGTGTCACATTATTTTTTTATCATCAAGAAGACTATTCCTATATTTGTTTCCTGAACTTTCGTCATTACAGTCTTGTCGATGTAAACAAACAACTTTAAAAGATACGCAGCAAATAAGTACTTTACACAATGTTCGTTTACCATAGTTACCTCTTCGCCCATTGTTGATAACATTATTTGGCATATGCTACCTAGTAAGTTACTTCCCTTATTTATAAACTTCCTGCTATGAAGAGACAAAACGACAGTGCAACCAATACCTGTCTCTTTTCTGCAAGCCTGTATTAACAATAGAAAAATAGAACTAATGGCCGCACATTTTCATTACCTCTCTTGGTCTGTGTTCACTTTAAAATTCTTTGTGTATATAGGTGGGTAAGAATAGCTTTATTTCCTTTCCAATATAAGATTTTTCACCTCCGCTCTCCTCATATTTCCACATTGCGAATCTATGGCAATTTTCAACTCCGATAACTTGTAACCCTTTGGGTTTCTGCGTCTCAGACTCACACCAAATGGTTATCTAACTCTCCCACACAGAAGATACCCCTTATTTTATTTATATTAAACTGAGCGCATATGGAAGGACAACCAATAACTTTATTTTAGTCTCCATTGTAAATATACATAACATTGTGAAATTCTTTATACCTTTTAACGTGTCCTTGCAAAAATAAATATATAAGTATAGACTTCAAATTATCTACTTGTTTTGCATTAATTGGAAATCTATTACCAAAATCTATTCAATATGTATTTATTGTATATTGCATATACAATTTTAAATAATATAAGCATGGCGGCCTTTCATACCGTAACTTGCCTGATACCTTTTTCGTCTTAATCGATTAAGCGTGCACATGCCAATTAAAGAATCCTTTTCCACCATAACCTAACCAGAGACGTAAGTGCTGTCGACTAGACAGGGCTAAACAGAGGAATAGGTGCTAGTCTTTCGTAAACTTTCTGTTAAAATAAAAAAACACCCCCTGAAGGGAAGCCGAAACGCCTACCAACTAAAACCTCTCCTCGAGTATTGAAATTCATCTAGAGGTTTTACATCCCAAGGAAGGTTTGTTAGAAGAGAATTAGGAGCGGGAAGGAGATTGAGTATAGGAAAGGAAATATTTGGGCGAAAAGAAGAATGCAATGGGAATCGGTGGCCCACCTCGAATGAGTTGGGGAAGCAGCTTACAGTAGAAGGTGGTAGGGCCTTTTGAAACGGTCGTTTAGGGGCGATGTCGGGAAGTGTCGAGCTGGACGGGTTTGGGTGACCTGACACCGAGATGCGGAGGTTTGTCGCGAATCTCATTGCGACTTCGAGGACTGAAAATTAACCAGTTTTATTCAGAATATGGGCGTTCAGGGGTAGCCAAGTGCGGATTTTAAGTGCCTTGGAGGATTGTAGGTGGTAGGGATGGGCGCAACCCCAGATGGGAATGCCGTAGGAGCAGATGCTCCTGATGATTGCGTTGAAAGCAGGGATTTTGGCTTGTTGACAGATGGAATTATTTTGGAAGAAGAGCTTGAAGGAGATGAAAACGCCTAAGTCCTTGGAACGTGTAGCTAGCATGTTTTTCCGTCATGTGAATGTTCGGTCGAAGATGACGCCGAGGTATGTGGCGGAATGGCTCCATTTGATAGAATGGTTGTTGATGATGTTAACTGGGGGTTTTTGGGTCCTACATGAAAAGAAAATTGCTTCCGGCTCGGCCTCATTAATGGATAGTTTCCATCTTTGATACCAATTCAGGAGCAGTGGTAGGAACTTGTTAATTTTTTAGGGGTAATGGAGAATGATTTGGACGTGGTTTATAAGGGCGATGTCCTAAGCGTAAAGAGCTGTGAGGATGGAGGAATGAAACGGCATATCTGCTCAGAAAAGGTTGAACAAAAGGGGTGACAGCTTGAAGGCTTGGAGAACACCGGCCATGACGAGTTTGCTTGCAGAACCAACACGAAGGGTTCTGTCAGAGAGGAAAGATCGAATTACCCCGATTAGGAAATGTAGGGTGTTCAGGGCGATAAGTTTGGTCAGAAATGTATGCAGAAACATGAAGAAGTTGATGGCCGGTTGATGCGGAAACTGTGTTGAAAGTCAGTGAAGAAACTGTTTCGCTCCACGTAGTCAAGAAGCCAGTCCAAAAGGATGGACTCAACTACTTTTCTCAGTGAACTAAGCACGCTAATGGCGCCTGTAGCTTGAGGCACAGAGCTGAGGGGCTTCCCTTTCGTATGATGACAGGTGACAGTGGCTTCTTTTCAGACCAGAGGGAAGTAGTGGAACAGCATGATGTTACAGAATGCGGTTATGTGTTTTGGTAGCACAACTTTTGTCAAATCATCATCAAATTCTAAAATCTAGAATCTAGATTGTAAAGATATGGTAAAATTTTGTAGTCAATCAGGTTTCGTATTTTAGAACTCCAGGCCAAATTTATTTATTATATTTATATTATTATAACTGCTATAACAGTCGGCACTAACCATTGATTAATTTTAAATATTTTTTTCGTTAAAGATTTATTAAGGATAATACAAATACTAAAGCAAACTGGCTAAATGCACTGGAAGCGTCAAGACTGTTTCTATAAGTTATCTATGTCTATATTCATAGATGAAACTGGCATAACCTCACCTAACCTATATTTGTCTGTGCATATGCATAATTGTAAACATAATATAATAGTTAATACATATTAATAGTTTTATTTTGTACATATTAGGATGGGTAGAAGAAAAAGAAAGGTAGGACGCTGTGTTAAAAGAAATAAAAATGTTCTGCATGAACCCGAAGAGCTTGTTCAAGCTCCTCATTCATTTGTGATTCATCGAGGTATTCCCGGAGATCACATTTTGGAACTCACAAAAGACTTTCGTAAAGTGATGGAACCGTTTACAGCGAAGTCCTTGAAAGAACGCAAAAAGAACGCTATAAAAGACTTCGTATCGGTTGCTGGATTACTACATGTAACACACCTATGTATATTTTCACGGACAGAAATTGGAATGTATTTGAAAATATGTCGATTACCAAGAGGTCCTACCTTAACTTTTAAAATCCACAACTTTAGCTTAGCAAGAGATGTTATATCATCTTTGAAAAAGCAACTAGTTTTTGATAGTGCTTTTAAGCATTCTCCTTTGATAATTTTAAATAACTTCAGTGGTGAAGGCAAGCAGTTAAAATTAATGGCATCTACGTTTCAAAATATGTTTCCTACTATAAATTTAACAAAGGTAAATAATCATGTATACTTATTTGTTTAAACCAATAGTAAACTACAAAAAGTAATTGTAAATTTTAAGTATANGCCCCCGAAGTAAGCTGCTGAAATAAGTAAGGAACCAGTTCCCACAAAAGGATCCAGTATTAAGTCACCTTTCTTAACTTTAGCTTGATTTGCCATTAAAAAGGACAACTGAGGATCCATTGTAGTGTTGCCTATAAATTTTCTAGTTTTCAGTGAAAATTTTTTAACTAATTGCCTTAAACCATTTATAATCTAAAAATAAAAACTGTATTTTAAATAAACAGCAGGCTTTTACTATTTTACAAAAATCAATGAAAACTCTGATATCCCAGACTACCGAGATTAGCCTGTTAAGACGAAATACGCATATTTTAGATCAGGAATACTATCAGAAAGTGAATATGAAGATGATCCTAGCAATCACATAACTTTAGTCCAAAAAATGATAGGTAGGGGAAATATTGAAGAAGGAAAATCGGCAATTAGATTAAGCGAAATTGGTCCCAGATTAACCTTGCAATTAATTAAAATAGAAGATGGGCTTTTAGATGGTGAAGTACTTTACCATGATCTTATACATAAAACAGAAGAAGAAAAAGCAGAAATACAGAAAAAACAAGAACTAAAACGGTTCAATAACCATATATACTTGTATTTTTTTTTGTACTATATAAACTGATATTTTCAGGAAATTAAAAATGAAACTGAAGAAAGTGCAGGAAGAAAACTTGAACAAAAAAGAGGAAAAGAGAGAAGAACATAAGAAGAAATGCTTAGATGGAATACAAAAACGAAAACCTGAATCTGAAATTATGATGAAGAAGCTTGCTAGAGAAAATGTAGAAGAAAATAATGGCCAAGATGATAACGATGTTGAGTATTACAAAGAAGAAGTTGGAGAAGAACCAGATCAAGGTATATAAAAAAAACGTGAAAAACTTTCTTTTGTATTAAAATGTTGTAATGCAATATTAATGTGATGTTTATTCATCAGATCTCTTTGCAAAGAAGCAATCAGGCATAAAACGACTGCGCACTCCATTTTCTTATAAAAATAAAAAACCTCGATTAGATTCCGATAAAAGGGAATTTAATAATAAAAAGAAACCAAGATTTGATAAAGTTAACGTAAAAAAGCGAGATTATAGACCGATAGGAGACAGCTTCAAACCTAACAAAAAGGTGATATCATCAAAAATTAAAAGGAAAGGAAAAAAACGTTAACGTTCATTATTAATTGTATTGTTATTATTATTTTTAATAAAACAAGAAATAATACTATTTGTTCTCCTTTTTTTGTAAATATTGTTGATAATTTTCATATTTTTCTTGAGCTTTTTTAATTCTTTTCTCTTTTCTGGTTTCTTCTCTTAGCATAAAGTACTTTTCCCTAAAATCTGCTATTGTAATTTCATTGTCAAGGTCGACTTCTCCAGGTTCTTTAATTTTTTCATATGTTAAAAGTCTTCTTGAAGTGTATTTACTTAGGATTTGTTCACTATTAGCCACTAATTTTAAGCAGTTGCTTGAAGGCAGTGATTCCACTGTATAATCTTCCCTACAACATGGAAATTTAATAGGCTTATACGAAGATACGTAAAAAATACATTTAATTACAAAAAATTTTAATTAAAATAATCAAAACTGAGTAAATACGAGTTTAACTCGCGAGTCAAGAGTTTCATATTTTGTCAAGTATATTATTAAATATAATAATCGTACAATTTCCTCAGTTACACTACATAAGTAGATAAAATATTGACCGAGCAACATGGTCTAGATGTTTAGACCATTGCTCAGCATTCAGTAGAACGCCGATTCGATTCCGGGTCCATCTACCTTGATTCAAATTTTGCTATGGTTTCCTTAGATCACTTAAGTAAATGCTGTGGCAGTAATATTCCACAGGTAATGTTTCATTCTCTTCTGTATTCATTTCTCCGTCTCACCTGAACCACCGCCCGCCAGTATTAGTGATGGGAATGAGACACCCAAAAGTTTTTAATACAATCTGTACATTTTTTAAATACAAATGATGTTAAATAAGGAGTTAAATCAAAAAGTTTCGTTTATTATTTTAATTTATTTTTGCCAATTTATACCGCAAGCCGCATAAAGGAACATCGTTCCAAAAAGTAATTAGGAAAGAGTTTAGAATGATGTAAGCAAAGACATACCATATGATACTATAAAGTATAAACATGCATGAATGCCACTTAAATTTCGACATACTATTTTAAACTCTTATGTAATGAAATTAAAAACTTATTTTCGCCTAGAACAGATAATCTACTACAACATTAGACAAAGACAACGAAATTTCACCAGAAAGGTTTCTTCTTATATTTACTGATATGGAAAAATAGTACTTCAAATTTCAATTGAATACAAACCTGAAAACAGGGAACCAACAAACTAGTCGTCCTCCTATTTTTAAGTGTTTGCATGAAAATTTAAGTAAGTCAAAATACATTTGTGATATTCCATACTCAATTTTTGCTGGTATGTGTGTTGCAAGGTGCTCTTCACTTATAGTGTAAGCCTCTTTGTGTATACCAATTTTTTCTGTGGCTTCTCGGATTCCATAAGGGGCTAGAAGTTATTCAAAATTTAAAAATATTGTGACAGAAAATAACTTTCTAAACCTACGATCAGTAAGAATCGCATCAAATTTCAAACTGTCCTTCCAATACCACGCTGCGAAATCACTAACCATAACGTCCAAATATTGACTTTCCAAATTATATTGTACCATATTAGCCTTAATACTTTCGTCTTTTTCTCTCACCTAAAATTTTAAGGACAATATATTCATAGTATTTAGTACCAACTTTTCATCAACACTGACGCTAAATCATTGTGTTATTATAAAAATTTGTTACATTAGTAAAATCCACGTTGACTCTGTTTCAATACTGAGCCAATGCACTAATACAACATTGGACTTAGCTAACTTAAGAACCAAAAAAGTGAAATTCTAATAAAAAATCAATACGATTTTACGATTAAATGCATTATTATCGAGTTATTATGCTTCATGGTTTAGTAAAAATAGCCCATCAGCGCGCGTACAGTAGCAAGCAGGTGCTCATTTTTTAAATCGCCATTTAATTTAATGAATTAGTGTAACTGTGTTTAAGTTGTAAATACTTTTTGTGAAATTCTACTTGGTCTTGTTTTTCCATGTAACATAAGATAATCAATATCAGTTCCCAGTATGTAGCCCCCGAAGTAAGCTGCTGAAATAAGTAAGGAACCAGTTCCCACAAAAGGATCCAGTATTAAGTCACCTTTCTTAACTTTAGCTTGATTTGCCATTAAAAAGGACAACTGAGGATCCATTGTAGTGTTGCCTATAAATTTTCTAGTTTTCAGTGAAAATTTTTTAACTAATTGCCTTAAACCATTTATAATCTAAAAATAAAAACTGTATTTTAAATAAACAGCAGGCTTTTACTATTTTACAAAAATCAATGAAAACTCTGATATCCCAGACTACCGAGATTAGCCTGTTAAGACGAAATACGCATATGACAATAACAGTGCATTTAGCAAATAACTTTGCGATAATGATGATGACGATGAACAGGAAAAATGACGATCTGAAAATACTACAAAAGAAACACATGAGACGCTACTATAAAGTGATCATGCCTGAGGATAGACGCATGTCTACCTTTTATATCATACTCAGACCACAACTAGATTTTCCTACAGAATGTTTTATGACTTTTATATGCTCACTTGACGGTCAATCTAAACTTTGCAACTTAACTTTGAACTGTGCTGATTAAAAAAGTCATCAATACATGGATTGTTACTGAACTGTAGATGCTATTTTAGCCATGCCAACATCCTATTGAACTCAAATTAAGTGAATAATAACAAGTTTAAATTGTAGTTCAATCAAATCACAAAATTATATTTAACCACCTACATGCCCCTCCATATAGCGATCTCAGTAGCCTTGTTTCACAAAGTAAATTAAAATTATTAATTTCACAGTATTCAGTTTTATTTTGTAACATACCCACCGCCCAAAATATACATCATAAGGTTCTTTAGGTGGACATGTTGGATCTGTTCCATAATATTCAATGTAATAAAATAAAGTATCAGGATCCTTTAATTTTACCTTTCCTTTGTATGGTAAATAATCAAATGCCTACAAGTTGAAACTATAAAACTGTTAAAAAATTAAATTTTAATGTTACATTACCTGCAATTTATTTACTTTTTCAGAATGTGTAAAATGTTTACCAAATGTCTCTACTTCAATTTTAAAACTCTTATTGTCATCAAAAAGCAGTTTTACATAATCTGTAGAAAAGGTCTTCAAATTCTCATGTAAACCTTTAACACTCTTTGCAAAAGTCAATAATTCAATACACGATCTCAAGGATACAGATCTGTTAGCTAATAAATGTACATCATCCTCATTTAAGAATTCTACAACCCAGAAAGGTTGCTGAAACATTCACTTTTTTAAAGGAGGCAACTAAATATACATTCAGAAAAAAACCTCTAGCGTAGGCTCCTCCACAAAATTCATCTTAATATTAAATAGTGACACGAGGGACATAATTTCCTGTAATAATATAAAGTTAATAGAAATGCAATACAGAGGGTATGGTATACAAACTTCTCGCCTAAACTCTATATGCTCCTGAGCAAACCACAGTAAGTACTTTTTATTCATTTTAATAAAATTATTCATTGTTCCCATCACATAAGGCTTATTAGATACAATTAAAAAGAAAATAATCTATGAAAGAAAACATGTTTAAATTAAAAAATAAAGTTAAACTCATGTCACACTCATATGGTCAAGTCTATTGCCATAGTCTATTGCATCTTCAAAATATAACCTCAAATAAAAATTTGAATATTTCTACCTACTTTTTAAGTTTGGAATTCATTACCAAATTCATTCAGAATTAGTTATTTTAAAAGTACTTTTCCTCAAATTTGAGATTTTAATAGTTTTCTTTTCAGTTTCAAGAGTGTACTCCCTACATATTTTAAATATTTTACCGCAACGCAAAGAACCAATCAAAGTATAGACATTCTTAGTTTCATTGTTGTAATTTTTCATGTCGACCTTCTTTTTAACAACCGCCTTTAAGAGTGTAAATTGTACTAAAAATAAGTGCAGGACGTGGAAATATTTTGATTAAATATGTAAAATCCTCAAAGTATTCATTTTAAATAGATTCATTTGAAATTTTGTTGTCATTTTACCAATTTTTCTCATCTTTCTGATTCTTATCGGTTACTTTTGTAGTTTGAAATGGTAAAAACTGCTGTGATAATTGAAAAAGTAGTAATTCGTACAAATAGAGTCTCAAATATTAATATAGGTACACACATATTTGTATTATTAAAATTCCATTTACATTCTGTACAGTATTTTTAATTTCAAAATTTAGCAACAAAATACTAGAAGTTACG